CTGTGAACAAGGTGACCGGACACCAGAGGAAGAGCAGAAGTGTTGGGCTACAAGGTTTGCTTTTGTGGGAGTTCCTTTTACTCTAAATCTTTGCGGCACTTATTTAAAATCAGTGTTCCAAGTACAATAATTAAGCACTTACTGCACACTTCAACATTTCATTTATTGATGGGCTACCCATTAAGGTCATGACTTCAAGAGGCTGATTTTTTTTTTTAAGATTTTATTTATTTATTTATTTGAGAGAGAGAAAATGAGAGATAGAGAGCATGAGAGGGAAGAGGGTCAGAGGGAGAAGCAGACTCCCTGCTGAGCAGGGAGCCCGACGTGGGACTCGATCCCGGGACTCCAGGATCATGACGCGAGCTGAAGGCAGTCGCTTAACCAACTGAGCCACCCAGGCACCCAAGAGGCTGATTTTTAAGCAGCTCTATCCAATAGAACATTCTATGATGATGGAAATGCCCTCTCTTTGCTGAGCAATACTGAAGCCACCAGCCACGCGTGGCTACTGAGCACTTGAAATGTGCCTAGCGTGACTAATGAACTGAGTTTTCAGTGTTAAGTAAGCTACTTTAAACTTAAATCGGCAGATGTGGCTGGTGGTGACCCTATTTGACAGTGTAGCTCTGGAGAATCAATAAATCATCTTACGTTCAGGGGATAGAAGGCATCAAGTTGTTCTTTATTATTGGCACTTGAATGGCTTAGGTTACAGATTTTTACATATAAAACCATTTTAAATTAAGTATTTCTTCACTGCTTGGCACATAAGGAGTCAACGAGTGGTGGGATGGTTTTAATAGGTTTCTCCTTACTCTACCCCTAGTCACAGCAACTCAGGCATCCTGTGCATCCTGGGTGAGGTCCCTTACAAGTTTCCTGTAAGATTGCCAGACCCGTAGACTCACCTTTCAAGCTTCCCTGGTCTCTGTGGGAGTTCTGAGTGAGGTGCTGTCTATGTATGCTGCTGTCTTTTTTCTTACTGCCAGGGCTTCTAGGCTCAGCAGCCCCTCTTGCAGACGCCCAGCCCAGGCTACTCCCGGATACCTCCCACAAACTCCCGCTGACCTGACCTCATTTAGGGCCCAGTGTTCAGTTATGGCTCCTAACACCAGCATCACCAATCTGGAGCATGAGCAATTCCAGGGGTCAGAATCACGCCATTGGACACAGTTGAAGGGACTGAGAATGCATCACTTAGAGAATGTCATTAGTTGGATACTGTTTATTAAACATGCTTTTATGTTGTGCCAGGCATGGGGCTAAGTGCTTTAAATTCTCACTGAATCTTTGTAGCAACCACATGTCCTATTTTTACACATTTTAGATGTGTGCGTAGGCTCAGAGAGGGTAAGTGACTTTCCCAAAGTCACATGGCTAGGAGGCTGCAGATATACCATTCCTGTTTACACTCTCTGGCTCTCAGGCTCACAGTTTTAACCACAAGGAAATTCATTATTCAAGAGGGACAATTCTTCCAATCAATGCACAGGGCAAATCTAAAAGGAACTGGATTTGGTGGGACTATAAAGAAGGATTTTCTCCTAATTCAAGCTCTTCACCACAAACACCTGGCTCTGTGAAGCACGCTGTGCCCCGGAGCAGCTCATAGCTGAGGCCTCATGCTGGTGCATCAGGACGGTGTAAAAGGCCTTCTTGAATAAGTGGGAGCTCACGAGTGATAGATGAACTCTCAGGGCCTTTCTGATTCAAATTTCTTCTGAATATGATTTCCTCTCTTGAGGACATTTACTGCCAATTTATTCCCATATGACTACTTTTTTATTTTCCATGCAATTCATAAAGACCCTTCTTTTTCTGTGTGAAACCGGGATGTAATTTATTCATCACTCAAATTTGCATAAACAGGGTATTCTCTCCCTTCAGCAAGCCTGTATAAGAATCCACATCACGTTTCACTGGGGAATAAAGAATGGCCTGGATCATGGAAACTAAAAGGTGATTGCCAAAAGTATTTTAAACATTTGGCAGGCTTTGTTTAGTTCTGTTAGATATTAATGATCAGTGACATGACAGCCAGGAGAGGAAGAATACAATATCATTAGATTTCAAGTTATACAATGAGCTCTAAAATCATGGAGATACGCTTTTGTTATTCTAATATACCTTTAGTGTTACATTGTGCTCCTTAATTATTTCTGATATGCATTGTAGGTGCTAGGTGTTGACTAGCATTTTGGATTTCTTCGCAAGTGCATTTTCTGTGTTTTGAGGGAAAATACACTGAATATCCTAAAAATATTTGTATTTTCAAAAAGAGCGGTGAGTGTGATTAGAATATAACTGTATTGGAAATGCCATCGAGGATAACTTTATGGGAAACTATAAGATTGGAAAGCTGTTTTTTCACCTGTAAGAACATTTGGGATTCACTTTGGGAAAGAGTAATCAATACATATCTTCACGTTCTCTGTATGTGCTCATCCTACCTTCCTGCTCAACTACTGATGGTGGCATTCCCAGCCCTGGCAACTTGTGCCAGGGTTTGGAAGCGAATGTATACCTCATTCGAGGGGGCCTGACATCTATAGATGCTCCCATTGAGATGGTCATACATTATGATTATGGAGAAAGTTTTTATTCTTGAAATGATTATCACATGGGATAAGCCTTACAGAGGAAATACTAGGCAAAGAGATGATGTGTATAAGGCAAAAACTGGGCTGGGAAGAACTGAAAGGATTTCGTGATAGGAACAGGTGGATTTAGTGCCAGTGTTACAGAACACTGGCAGGGCGTGGACTGGGGAATCAAACAAGTCGGGATTTCTAGCCTGGGAGTCTAGAAGGAAGGTTGCACTAGGTGGGTCTAGAAGAAGGCTAGGATTTCTGGGCAACGTAAAGAACGTGAAGAAGGAACATAAGCAGGGAAACTGAGGCATGAGGGAGGGGAATGCTGACCATTTCAGTTTGCAGCAGAGCTGAAGAATGGGAGGAAACAGAGTTCACAAAGAAAAGTAAGTCTGGAGCTGTATTGTGAAGACCCTTAAGTATCAGCGTGAACAGTTTGTAATCAGCCTGTGTGGGGATGGGGATCTATATCCCTTCCTCTCAGGAGATTGCTATTTTCCATGAACTCTTCCACATATTTTTGGCCTGTCTCTCTCTCCCCTACAGGGTAAGATCCTTGCTCATATTTATTTTGATTTATAGTAAATGCTAAACAGAGTCTAGGTATGTTATATATATATATATTTATTGGTTGTTGACTGCATATAAATCACTGTGACTATATAGCCCTCTTTATTTTTTTTTAAGATTTTATTTATTTATTTGACAGAGAGAGACACAGCGAGAGAGGGAACACAAGCAGGGGGAGTGGGAGAGGGAGAAGCAGGCTTCCTGAGGAGCAGGGAGCCTGATGTGGGGCTCTATCCCAGGACCCTGGGATCATGACCTGAGCTGAAGGCAGATGCTTAACGACTGAGCTACCCAGGCGCCCCATATAGCCCCCTTTATATGTACTGATGTATTTATTGTACTAATATGTAATAAATCCTCGAAAAGTTTGTTTCATGCATTATATATGTGATGTTAGTGTGTATGTGATTTCTAGAAATGGAATTGGTTTAAGAGTACATTTGCTTAAAGCGGATTTTAAAAATGTCTTCTAGACAATTTTTTTTTTTTTAAGATTTTATTTATTTGACAGAGAGAGACAGAGAGAGAGAGAGAGGGAACACAAGCAGGGGGTGTGGGAGAGGGAGAAGCAGGCTTCCCGCTGAGCAGGGAGTCTGATGCAGGGCTTGAGCCTAGACACTGGGATCATGACCTGAGCTGAAGGCAGATGCTTAAGGACTGAGCCACCCAGTCGCCCCTAGACAATTTCAAGTTGAGCAGGTAACTAACACGTGGCCAAATCAGGACTCAACTTTTGCAGAAAGGAATTCAGCTATAGAATCTTAGAGCTGTGGGGCCCTCAGCAATCATTTCTCCTTCTTCCTTCCCTTTTATTTGAGGAAGGGGAAACGAGGCTCAGTGCAAAGTCATTGGCAATGCCAGGGCTAAGATTCTGTTTTCTGTTATCTTTCTGCCACCCTTCTTATCTGTAAGTGACCAATAAAAACAAACCATTTAGAGACCAATACACATTTACAAGGAAAAAATTTCATAGGAAACTGATGAAAAATGGATCCCTTCCATAATCCAGATAGGGTAGTCCTACTTTTGTTTATAGTATTACATTAGCACGGGTGGAAAGTTTCTAACAAACCAGTTATTAACTTATTACAAGTGGTACTCTCCAATTTCTCCTAACACAAGTTAACGTGTGGTGGTAATGGGAACAATAGGACGCCGCACAATGAGATCATTTCCTCTCGTGCCTAAGGCCATTTTTTACCTTGTGATCCAGCTTCTAACAAACTTGGTCACTGGAACATCTTGGAGAAGCAAGGCCCTAGCCCTTGGAGGGGCCTAAGTACTTCTACAGTACAGTAACAGTAGATCCTGTGTTGGGGCTATTTTCCAAGCTAAAATACAGTGAAGCCCACTAGCAATGACAGCAGGCATCCCCCGAAACTGGCCGGCACAGGGGCTCGGCTGCACGGGCGCCGGTTTCTGTACTTGTAACTCCAGGACCTGCTCGCAGAAGGCTGACTTACCTCGGTAACCCCAGCAGACACAACACCTGGCACGTGGTACGTTACTAACGCTAGTAAGGTTTGGACACTTAAGGCTCCAAGTGACGGAAAAGCAGTATGCCTGGGAAACGACTTTTTCTGGCGTCTAACCCGTGTGAATTCACTTTGGGGCAAAGGTAGATTTCGTCTCCTGAGCTTCGGACAACAAAGGTTCCTGAATGCACTCTAGAAGGTAGATGGAGCGTAAATCGGGCTGCTATTCACTTGGGAGGCCGTATTGTTTTGTGCCCATTGTCCCCCCGCTGACCCCTGCCAGCCCCCGGGGGCCTCGCGCTGCTAGAAGCTCTCGGAGCCGGAGCAGCCGGCGAGGGGGAACTGAAAAGCCGCGGAACCAGAGGCGAGGGAGCAGGGCGGGCGGAGGAAGGACGAGAAGGGAACCGGCAGGCCTAGCAACGAGGAGGCGGCGGCGGCGGCGTGGGCATGGAGGCCCTTCGCGTCCTGGAGCTGTACAGCGGCATTGGAGGCATGCACCAGGCGCTGAGAGGTGAGAGAGCACACCCCATCTCTCTCTCCGTTCCCGCCGAAGGGCTGGTCCCAGCTTGGGCGCGGGGGAGGGGCGAAGCGGCGAGGCGCCGGGGGCGGAGACAGGAGCGCAGGGGGGGGGGGGGGGGAGGCGGCGCTCGGTTGTCTTGGAAACCGCCCCAGCGCGCAGTCCCCGCCCGGCAGCTCCGGGCGGAGACTCCCTTCCTCCAGCCCCGAGGCTTGCCCGAAGGGCGGACGCGGAGTCTGTGTGGACTCAGTTCGTGAGTCTTGATCCGCGAGGCGAGGCTGGAAAGTCAAACCAAGATGGTACCGGCGAGGGGGGATGGGCGAGCCCCTGGTGGGGGCCGGTCCCCACTTCTAAGTGTGGCTGCCACCTAGAGGCGTGGACACCTGCTTCTTTACCCTCGAGGAAGTCGCGGCGGGGAGGGGAGGTTGGTGGGGGGCTTGGCCGGTGAGGATTGGATCTTCACGGGGGTAGTTGCAGGGCAAGGTAGAAGTTAGGGAAGCCTAAATGAACTGTGGAGACAAAACATTGAGGAAAAACCTGTCCCTTTTTGATCATTGAAAAGAAACAGCGTGTCTTGTGTAGATACATTTAGGCGCCAGAAGAGCTGAGTTGAAACTTAGTTGTGACCTTGGGCTAGTTCCTTAACATCTTTGAACCTGTTTCTTGGTTTTAAAATGGGAAAAGTAAATTTTTCAGAGGAGGATTATTTTGAGGATCAAAGATAAGGCGGAAATGTTTAATAGTGCCTCGTACATTGTAGCCACTCAAAACATTATAAATTATGACTATTACTATTTTATGTACCTCTTTCATTTTGAGGTGATAAGCTGGAACTGAAAGATTTATTTTCGGTGATGGTTCTCTCAAAAATATTTCTTGAACTCCTATTCTGTTCCAGGTACTGTGTAGGGGCTGGAGATAACAGAGTGACAAATAGACTTTGAACATGCGTGTTTATTCTTAAATTACTATGACAACCACAACACTGAAACTTGCCTGCTTCCTTTTTTTAGTACCAAGGGCAACAAAAAACGAATAGTGTAGGATACAAATACTATATAATGAATTGAACATAAGTATTCTGAGCGTATGTATTGAGTTTTGATTGTAGACTAGGGTAGTGATTATTATAGTTTTATTACCAATTATTTGCTGGCTCTCTACATTCAGTTCTCTTATCAAAACTTAACCAGCAAGAAAACAAAAGAAAAGTCTAGGGGCGCCCGCCTGGCTGGCTCAGTCGGAAGAGCAAGGGACTCTTGATTTCAGGGTCATGGGTTCCAGCCCCATGTTGGGTGTAGAGATTACTTAAATAAATAAATTAAACTTTAAAAAAAGAAAAAATAAAATTCTAGTACTCTTTGTTCTTTGTTAATTTTGTAAGATTTTATAATGTCAGCATATTTTCCCGTATCTTGAAACCCCTTAATGAACATGATTTTAAAGTTTGCTTAGGACTTTATCGTAAGCTATGAATTCAACCACTCCTCAAGGGTTGAACATTAGATTATACCCCAATTTTTTGCAAGTATAAATGTGCTACAATTACAGCCTTGAACATAAATACTAATTTTCTCTTTAACTGGTGTTTTCTAAAAGTTGAATTAATTCATTTAACAATCTGAGACTATGAGCTAGTAGTTATTAAGTGAAAAATTAGGATAATTTTTTAAGACTTGATAGATAATATAGCAGATTGCTTTTCAGAGGTTTATGAGTACCTCCCTCAACTACGTATTCATCAGGATTTGTATTAGCCATTTTTAACCCTTGCTGATTTGATTGGGGTAATTGTGTAATTTTAACTTGCATTTTTTTGGTTAATGAAACAGTTAAGTATCTTCTCTCCTATCAGCCAATGCAACCTGAATTTGTGCACATATATTTCTGTTGCCACTGCTACATCCTGAATCTGAACTTTATTAAAATAGTTTCCCAATTGCTCCCCTGTTTCTACTTTGCTTTCCTGCTCCACCCTTTCTCCACATAGGAAGACAATGATCTTTTGCACAGTAAACTGGATCATGTCACTCACTTCCCTGCTTAAGTGGCTTCTCTTTGAGGTTGGAGTCACAGTCCCATCTTCTTACTCTGCCTGGGAGATCTGGCCCCTGCTGCCTTTCCTTCCCTTCCTTTTTGTTCCTGTACAGCTTCTAGCACAGTACCGCACTTGTGACAGGCAGTCTGTAGATGACTGCTGATTGGTAATCATTCTACCATTATGTTGATAAAAGCATAGTTTGCTCAGCTCCAATTTTTGTAAAATACAAAACTCTTAGTTGCAAACCAATAATCTATTCTCTGGCGAACCTAAGCAGAAAAAAATATATATATATATATATATATATATATATAGCAAAGGACTTTTGGAAGCTCACAGAATCTATAGGACACCCAACAAACAGGTTAGGTGAATAGGAACACTGCTCAAACCACACTCTGGGCCCTGCCCCCACAAAGCTTCATACTGACTTCACAGCTTTCACCAGTGATGCTGAGGGCAGATGTGAGAAGTGCCATTCCTGTTTTCCTCTGAAGGGTGGATGCTTCTCCCATCTCTGTCGCGAAAATGTTGGGTTTTTCATTTGCTACCTCATGTTGCTACTTCTGAATGAAGGTAGTATATGGATGCAGTTAATTGGTGGGCTTTGGATCTCACTGCCAGCAAAGGAAGCTGGGAAAGTGAGTTCTGGCTCCTGTTTTGGAAAGAAGGGACTCAAAATATGGCAAAATTTTCAAATATAGAAAACACGGGCAAAGATTCTAAATGGCCACAAGTATAACAAATACCTTTCACATTATTTAATACATGTTCCCCTGTATAGGACGCACTCACTACTTCTTTGATATTATTTATGCCTGCACAGTCTATAAAGTCTTGGCTAATGAGAATCTTCCAAGTGCAAATAATCTCCTTTCAGAAAGTAGTAGAAGTAGTTTCATGAGTTATATATTGGTGAGGCCTGTAAGGCACCTGCAAATTTAATGGGTAGCAAATAAGATTTTGTTGTTCTCATAAAGTATAATATCACAGAAAGACTAAAATGTGGTGTAAGGTAGTGAATAAAGAAAGCTCTAGCTGATTACTATCATATATATGGTCAACTACTGAGACATCCTTAAAAGTAAAAAGGCCTGCCCTATCAAATAATTTCTAAAGGTCTTTTAAGGTGTTGATTTTGAGTTTTAGTCACATAACAATCATATTTAGTAGGAATTACTCAGCCTTAATATTTTCTGTTAAAATGTCAAGCAATTTGTCACTCATTATTTTCTGAATTTCTTTTATCTTTATTTCTCAATGACTTATATGCCAACTTGAGACCCTACTGAACCACTTTGTAATTAGGTGTGCTTATAACTGAATCAGGCAAGTATATTATGAGTAAATATAGATCTGAATGTCACCTGGGGATGTTTTTGGAACATCGGTTGTAAGGAGCTAGAATTTGAACTGCTTAATTTTTTTTTTTTTGAATTTTCTTTGGGATTGTAAAAATGTCCTCTTCATGCCTCTTTTCCCATAGTTATTCTTATATGACTTGTTGCCAGATTTAAAGTGAAGTGAGGTAAAAATTTGTCCCGTTTGAAAATATGTATCCTTTGTTCTCTGTTAGCCACAGGAGTTATTAGATTATTTTTTCCAAACTTGAAATACAAAGATGAAATTAGTAGGATGAATTTTGTATATTCAGCAAAGGAGAACCCTTACTTTCCACTGGATGATAGAATTACCTATCTTTTCTGTGATGGAAATGCTTACCTCACTGCAGAGTATTACTGTTTTTCATAGATCAGATTACTTACCCTGTCCTAATGTGTAGATGACCAGTTTAATTTGTATTATGACCTATGTATTGGGGCTTTTGGGGGCTCAGTAAATAGTACCCCTCTTCATAATTCTGAACAAAGAGAGAAAGAAAACAGAAGAGTAAGGCAAATAGGAAATACAAATTTGTATAATTTTTATTACTAGTAAAGGCTGAGTTGGAGGATGTAGCTTAGTGAGAGGACCCGATGGGTCAGCTAATATTCAACCAGACAATTAGGCAGCTACCTTTTAGGCACAGCTGGAGACGCAAGCAGAACGCATGTTGCCTGTGGGTAGCTTATCCCCGAGAGGAGGACTGGGGGAGCTGAGCAGGCACGCCCAGTTTATTTTTCACAAATTAGCCGATTAGAGAAGTCATTCTGCCTTCCATGGAAGAAGTAAAAAGATAGGCTGTGTGAGGAGTTTAAATGAATAGAAACCACTCACTTGGAAAAAACATCAGTAGGGGGAACACATACACTCACATGCCAAATGCTTTTAGGAATCTTTCAGATGTCACTGTTTTTCGATTTTGCAAATGCTATCTCTTTCTTTTAATATTTGATACTTAAACTGCCTCTGACAATCATTTGGTACTGCCGAATAATTTGAAATACGATGGTTTGTTTTCATAGTAGGTTGGTCTTAAATCATTGTTTGTAGCACTATGAGATAGTAACAGCAGACAGTGTTTATAGGACGGTTTCAGGGAAAGGTCATTTCATCTCCCAGTTAAGAGCACAGTTTTATTATCAGAAGGCCTTGGTACTTCCTAGCTTTGTGAACTTGGGCAAAAAATAAACTTCCTGTGCCTCAGTTTCCTTTTCTATAATAGTACTTGCGTCGAAGGGGAAGTGTGAAAATTATAAATAAATAAAAATAAAGCATGTCAATAGTGCTTGGAATGTGGTAAGTGCTCAGTAAATATGGGCAGCTTGAATCAAAAATTACTTAAAGTTATAGAAAGTTATTACATGTTGTTTAAAAATGGCTTTAGAAGAAACTGATGATTAAATATTCGAAGTTGTCGGGCGCCTCGGTGGCTCAGTCAGTCGTTAAGCGTCTGCTATCGGCTCAGGTCATGATCCCAGAGTCCTGGGATCGAGTCCCACATCAGGCTCCCTGCTCGGCGGGAAGCCTGCTTCTCCCTCTCCCACTCCCCCCGCTGCTTGTGTTTCCTCTC